TCCTGACCCTCACATTCTGTCCCATCCCCTGTGCTGTGTCCTGGCTCATTCTCTTCCCCGCCTCTTGACGTTCATCCTACAAAGACTTTGATGTTGTCTTGTTCCTGCACAACTCTGTGTCTTCTCTGTCCCATCATTCTATCCCAATCCCACAGAACCTTGCTTCTCTTAACAATCTTCCTTCTTCCTACACTCACTTTCCATTTCCTTTGTGCCAAGAGTCCTCGCCCCACGCTTGATGATTTCTCTGTTCCCTGTAACATTCATCCCAAATGCTTCTCTAGCCTTCTGAGCAAGAGCAAGCAGCCATGTGACCCCTGTGTACCTGATGGGTTTTTGTATGAATTCCCTCCCACCCCCACTCAGCGACCTCATACAGTTTCCATTTAGTGCCCTGCCCCAGGAGGCCTTGGAACTATTTCTATACCCCCAACCCTCACCAAGTGGGAAAGAAAACCCTAAATTATTCATTGATTCTCTGAGAGCCCATGAGGACAGGGTCATATTTCCAGCCTTGCTTGCTGGGATAGAGACTACCCCCATGGTGGAGGAAAGGGACTCAGGAACATTCGTGAATGTTCTTAGTCACTGGTGAGTGTCTCCAGGGTATGTGATCCTGACTTTCCTGGCTTGAGAAAAGTCCATTCTAGTCCAGAAGCTTCAGAAGTTGATAGGCATGGAATGGGGGCAGGGGTTTATCCCAGTTATGTCAGCAGTAATCTGGGTACTAAGACCAAGCCATCTTTGTGGGGCGGGTTTGTGGCTGAGGATAGAGAGTAACCAAGGGGCTTGAATCAGGCCTATCTAGTAGCAATCATAGCAACAATAATAGTAGGAGGCTCACTTAACTGATTCTGAGGACAAAAACAGTAAATTTGGAGAATATGGAAGTTATATGTTATTTGGTTCTGTTTTGTGCCAGCACTGCTCAGTGGGATTAGTGAGAGTCTGAATAATGAGCCTCCAGACCCATCTCCTTTATTTAAAACATTTATCCAAACCTTTGACTAAGAACCCAAGTTTTCCTGCTGTCCCAATCTATTATTTGGTGCCTGAGTTCTGAGAGGAAGCTTTTAGCAGTACACAGTGAAAAATAGCAAGTTACCTCAAGGTAATTTGGTTCTGTATTTTACATACTGAGTAGAGAGAGCGCAGATAATGAGGGATAGGGCTTTCACTCAAAAATATGTGGGGGGGGGGCTGGAGAGCTAGCACAGCGGGTAGGGTGTTTGCCTTGCACGCAGCCAATTCCCAGCATCAATTCCCAGCACCCCATATAGTCCCCCATACACCGTCAGGAGTAATTCCTGAGTGCAGAGCCAGGAGTAACTCCTGAGCATCGCCTGGTGGGACCCAAAATGCAAAAAAAAATGTCCAGGGTCTGGAGAGATAGTATATAGGATGCTTGTCTTGCATGCGGCCCACCAGGTTCCATACTCAGCACCACATAGGGTCCCTTGAGTACTGCTGGGTGTGACCCAAAAAAACAAAAAAAAAAGATGTGCTCAAATCTATTTTCCTAAGTTCTAGTGGCATAGGTTGGAATAGGGGGGACTGCAGGGTCCAGGTGATAATACAGTGGGTAGGGCGTTTGTTTTCAATGAGACTGACCCAGGTTCTATCCCTGAAGCCCCATATGGTCAGTGCCCTGTGCCCCACCAGGAATGATCCATGAATGGTGGGTGTGGTTCCCTCACCCCCCAAAAAATATATATATCTGTATTTCATTGTTTCCTAATGTGGGCAATCTTTTGGGGGCTGTGGTGAGCGGGAAGGGCACTGGAATAATGTAGTAATAATGCCTTTCAGTTTGTTTTGTTAAAGAAGATAGATTTGCATGGGGCAGACAGTTCATAGGGTAAGGATCTTGCCTTGTGGCTAACCACAGTTAGATCCCTGGTACTGCAAGGGTCCCCTGAGCACTGCTAGAAATGATCCCTGAGTAAACACAGAGCACATATGGGTGTGCCTCGCCCAATAAAGGAAAAAAATTTCAGGGAGATACTGAGTTTTTTTTTCTGAAAAGGGGGAAGTAGGCCAAATAAGTTTGAGAACCTCTTGGTTCTTTTGTCCCTGCATTTTGGCAGGGAGTGGGGGGTGGGCCACATCTGGTAGTGCTCAGGACTTACTCCTGGCTCTGTGCTCAGGAGTCTCTCCTGTCGGGGATTGGGGGACCACAGGCAAGAGGTTGGCTCTCTAAACCTCTCTATTCTCTGTTATCTCTCTGCCTCTGATCCTTGCAATTTGCCTGGTGAATAGAAAGCTGAGATGAATTCAAGCCTCTTCAGTATTTGGATAGTGTGAGTTCAGGTCATTCATCTGAATATATTTGGTTCCTGCATTTTTGATTCTGGGTAGGGAAAAGAGAGACAACGGGAAATTGCTCTGTTTCAGATTTGTCTGGTTTACTGAATAGGGATGCTTTAGAGGCTAAAGGATATCAGCTCTGTCTCTGTTTTTGTTTTAATTTTTGTTTTGTTTCGGAGCCACACCCAGCTGTTCTCAGGGATTACTCCTGGCTCTCTGCTCAGAAATCACTGCTGCAAGGCTCAGGGGACCATATGGAGTGCCAGTCATCAAATTCGTGTTGAAAACTTGCAAAACAAGTACCTTACCCACTGTACTAGCTCTTCGGCCCGCTCATTTTATTTTTGGTTTTTAGTCACATGCGCAGTGCTGGAGGAGCCTGTGGTGCCGGGAATCAAAGCTGGGCTCCTACGTGCAAAACGTGCACTCCAGCGCATTGAGCCATCTCTCCAGTCCGACCAGCTCTGTATTAAATGTGGATTTGAGTACATTGAGTTCCTGACTTGGACTTGCTAGAGCTCATGCATGTTCTCTGCAAAAGAGAAAACAGCTGTTTCAAATATACCATCGTTTAAGGCTGAGGGTTGCCACCTCTCTCAGGAAAGAGAACTATGTGCTTCCTGAGTTTACCTTGGCAGGGACACTTGCCATGCCAGTCAGTACGTGTTGAACATTGACTGCGGGTCAGGCACTGTCCTAGGCAAGCTTGAAACATGTGACATCACACCAGCCTAGGAGGTCTATGCTGTTCTCATTTTTCCCATTTTTCAGATAAGAACACTGAGGCAGTTATTAAGTGCCTTATTCAAGCAGTGCTACAACCAGTACTAGTAAAGCTCGGCCGGTTGGATCCCAGCCAGCCCCTCCATGACACCACAAGAGGCTCTGGCTCTAGCTGGGGGCGGGGTGGGGGACACAAGAAAATGGCCATCTTCCAGGCTGTTAAAAGCTATGGATCGGGGCCATGCTATGTGTAAGGGCCTTTGTCCCTTCTTTCTGCTGTTACCTGCTTTCCTCTCTCTGACTCTCCTCCATGCCCTTTAGCCCACCTCTGTGTGAGTCTATTCTTGTTTAGAGCAGTTGTTAATGGCATGAGAAGCACTTCTTTGCAGTTTGGGACACTCCTTTTTGTTGTTGTTCTTTTGGGTCACACCCATCAGTACTCAGGGATTACTCCTGGCTCTGTGCTCAGAGGATCACTCCTTTTCTTTGGCGGAGGAGGGCACACCTGGCGATGCTCACAGGTTCAGGAATCACTGCTGTTAGTATGCAGAGGGACCATATGGGATCACCCTACCTGCTGTACTGTTGCTCCGCCCCCATATACTTTGTGACTTTCTTGGCACTTACCTGGGCCTCTCTTGGCTTAGACCCAACTTTTACTATTTACAGATGAGGAAACCTCAGCCTTGAGACTTAACCTCTGCTGCCCCCCAGATTCTCTTCTGATCCATAATCAGACACGTTACCCGTTGTGTTCCTGACCCCGCATGCACGTCCCCCAGATTCTCTTGTCCCTCTCAGCTCAAAACATTACAAAACATTGATCTTTTCCATCAAGAGGCTGGAAAGGTCATGGCTGAGAAGATATTCCCCCCAACCCCCCAGCTGCCCACCTTGTGACTGCCCGCCTCCAGCAGCCCCCGGGTGGGTGGTAAAGGGGGAGAGAGGATGATGAAAAGGGCCTTTGTGTCCCTTGCCAGAAATCTCACACCCAGGAAGAAAGGTGGAGGAGCCCTCAATAGTATGTCTATGGGGAGCTGCTGATTCTCAATGAGTGGGCCCACCAAGCTAGTGGGGAGGGAGCTGGCCTCCCACCGCCCTTTCTGACCCAGCGGGCTGGCCTTGGACTCACGGGTCAGCAGACTATCTGCTCCAAACTGTCTGCTCCAGAGTGGAGCACAAGATATGTGGCATTGTGGGAAGGCAGAGCCCCAAGCGCAGGGGCTGTTCCGGAGCAATTAGTATTTTGCAGGGCCTCAGCAGCCCCCTCATGTCCTGGTCAGACACGGAGCCAGTTCCTGGGCAGAAGCCGCTGGCTGGAATGAATAGGGGAGGCCCAGGCTGCATGTGAAGAAGCTTGAGCCACTTTTCAAAGCCTCACTTCCTTCATTGCAGGGAAGCCTCCGTTTGCCTCCAACCCAAGACCCAGCCATCCTTTCAGAATCCCCCACCCCCCTATTAGGTCTCCTTGAAGCCCCAGCGTCCACATGGACTTGCTGACATGAAGAGCTGGGTCTGCCCCATCCTCCCAGGTTTGTCAGGGGTGGGGGCATGGGGGGAGGTGGCCCTGCGGGTTTTGAGTTTGGTTGTGGGGGTGGGGTAGGGGGCTGGGGTGCTTTCCTCAGGATCCACAGAGATGGAAGGGTTCGGAGACCTGGTCTGTCTCCTTTGGGGAAAGCCCCCTGTTCTGTCTCTGTCTTGAGAAACTGACAAGGAAATTGCCCTCCCAACTACTCTCATCCCCGTTTTTTTGCCCTGGGAGGAAAGGATCAGGGCCTCAGGAATGTGGGGTGCGCTGCCAAGAGTCACAGAAGGCCTCCTGTGTGTTTAAGAATGCCCTTGCCCTCCTGCCCCAGCTCCCAGATAAGATCCCTGGGTGGGCAGGGTTTGATCTGGGGAGGGGGCAGGAGAGGCCCCTCCTTTCCTCTGACCCAGATACCGCTCTCCCTTCCCAGTTCTTTGCTAGGGGCCTGGGCTTGGGGCGGGGAGGTTCTGGCTGTCTCCTGGGTCAAGCTGGACAGCCCAAGAGGACCTAGCCCTGGAACTGCTTGTCAGGATGGTGGAGCCCTGGCGGCAGGCAAGCAAGGGTTAAAAGGTATGGGTTGGGCCACTGGCTGGTGGGAGGCGGCCTCGGCCTTGGAGGCTGCTCCCTGCGTGTGAGTGTGTGTCTGTGTGCGGCACTATCCTGAAGCCGGTCCTGCTGCAGACCACTGTCCCAAAGCCGGCCTGAGCCCCCCACGGCTCCTCCTCGCCGGCATTGGTGAGAACCGGGATGAGGAGGGTCTGGGGCATACTCGGGTTGCTGCTGAATGGGGGGGGGCAGGTTTCAAGGAAGCTAGCTCAGTTTGGGAGGTTTGGGAATACGGGGGAGGGAAGCCTTCACTTAGAGGGGTGTATTCCCAAAGGCTCTAGTTCATTTCCTGGACCCAAAGGGAGCAGGGAAGAGTTGGGGCAGAAAAGAAGCTTTGGTTCCCCTGTTCCCTTCTCTACTCTGCCACTTCCTTTCCCCCTTCCTTCTCTGTGGGAGTTGCCTCTACCCTCCCGCCCGCCACCTGGGGTAGCCCAGCACCCTCCCCTTCACCCAGGAAAGCCCTGACTGTTGAGTAACTGCTTCCCAGCACCTGCCTTCCCAACTTGCGTCTGTTTACCTGGAGGGGGGTGACGGGGTAAGGGGGTGACGACCAGTCCCAGGCAATGGGAGTGGGTATTGGTTCGGATGGTGGCAGGATGTAGAAATGGGGTCCCACTGAGGGTGTTGGGGTGCCACCCAGGTGAGGTGTCTTCGTTGTAAACAGTCATTAGGGCTGGCCAGGAATTTCTTTCTCTGTGGTGTCAGAAGGGCAGACTTGAAAAACCTGCTAGGCCCGCCTGGGTGGCCTGGGGGGGGGCCTGCACTTCTGTGCCCCTCCTGTGTCACTCAGACCACAGGGACACCCAGAAGGGAGACCCAGGGACTGGCAGGGTGGGGGTGAGATCTCCTTGGATGGCATATCTGGGGAGGAGGGGCTACCCCAGTTTCCGGGGAAATGTTCAGAGGGCAAGTGAGGCCAGCAGAGGGGGCCCTAGGAGGCTTAGGAGCCCAGTGTGGGGGTGTGGGGCGTGGACCTTGGGTCTAGGGCCTGCCCAGTGACCCTGTGTGACTCAGGCCTGAGTTATGTCCCCCGAGGTAAGAATGACAGGGTGGAGTTGGGGTTCCCGGACCCTGTGTGTGTTGACATCCAGGTGTTATGAACTTTGGTTCAAGAGATACCAGGGTAGAATGGAGGAACCAAGTGATAGTGGGGAGTGGGCCCCTCAAGGAGGACTTGGGGTTCTGTGAGGCAGTGAAAGAAGGTTGAAGGGATCCCTGGGAAAATTCTTCAAACCCAATTGTGGTCGGGTGGAAGACAGCCCAGGAGTCAGGGCACAGGGGCAGCTGAGCTGGGGCCTCAAGGCTCCTCTGTCATCCCAGGCAGCCAGGGATGCCACCTGCTTATTGGTGTGCACAAAAGCTGTTAAGATGGCCCCTGATGTGGAGGCAGGCAGGAGGGAGGACTGCCAAGAAACGGGGCACCACACATGTTAGCTGACTGGTACCAGCCCAACAAAATATCATCAGCAGGGAAGGGAGTGGGACCCCCATCTCAGTGGCCTGACTCCATGACTGCCAGAGTGTGACCAGCTGGGGATAGGATCTCGGTGACCTCAGGAGGTCCCAGTCACCTGCCCCTGGATGGCTGGCAGGCCAGGTGGTGGGAGGTGATGTCAGCAGACTGCCCAGCTGGAGACCCAGCAGGATGTGGGAGGGAGTGAGGGAGTGAACCAAGTCCAGGGCAGGACTGGCGGCCAGCCACAGCCAGCTCCAGGGCCAGTAAGGACATCGGGGCCCAGAAGGAGGCAGGCACAGGCAGCTGGGAAACTGAGGTGAGTCTCAGCTCAACTTGGTGTGGCTTGGTTTGCCTCGACTCATAGGTACAGAGAGGTGATTTCCCGCTGCTGCCCACAGAACAGGCAGCCCGGGGCCAAGCACATGCCACCTGCCACTGCAGAGTGGGGACGGGGTGTGGACGGACAGGGGGATCAGAACCCCTTGGAGCTCAGTCCCATCCCCAGCTCGACTACTTGGCCAATTAGGGTTCACTTGTTCGTCTGCGGGCATTGTGGGGCCCTGGCCACACACTAAGGGTCTCTCCGTGCTGGAGCCACAGATGTCAGTGAGACCAATGCTTCAGGCCCTCATGAATGTTCCCAGGAGACGTAATCTCTGGGCCACCACTGTGGGGGCCACCTCTGTTTGTTTGTTTGGTTTTTTTTTTTTTTTTTTTGCTTTTTGGGTCACACCCAGTGATGATCAGGGGTTATTCCTGGCTCTGCACTCAGGAATTACTCCTGGCGGTGCTTGGGGGACCATATGGGGCGCCAGGGATCGAACTCAGGTCGGCTGCATGCAAGGCAAACACCCTACCTACTGTGCTATTGCTCTGGCCCCCAGTGGGGGCCACCGCTGGAAGTGATTTGGAAGTCCTGGATGGGAGTGAGCCAAGGCTGGAGTGGGGAGGAGAGGTCAGAAGGAGTGCACTAGGGCACCGCCACCTGGGTGCTAGTGAGGACTTGAGGTGCTGGAAGGGAGAATGGAACAGGTGGCTGGGGCTACATGCTTAGCCTCACTCCCCTTTTCCCTAACATGAGGCGTAGCAACATGGTAGTAACATCAGTGTTGCATAGTACAATGGATAGGGCACTAGCCTTGCACGCAACTGACCTGAGTTCAATCCCTGGTACCCCATATGGTTTGTTGAGCCCTGCCAGAGGTGATCCCTAAGTACAGAGCAAAGAGTAAACCTTGAACTCAGCTAGGAATGCCCCCCCCCAAAAAAACAAAACAAAAACTTAAGGTCGTTGTGGGAATTAAATAGGGCACTGAAGTCACTGCTCGAGACCCATGGACACTCTCTAAATGCCCATTGTTGTCACTGATGGTTGAATCTGTACCTTTCACTCTCTCCCCAGGCCAGACTCCTGACTGTGGCCCGCGGGCCTCTAAGAAGGCTTTGTAAGTCCTCTCTGCTCCCCATTTGCTGTGTTCCCACTCAATGGGAAGGGAACCAAGGTATTGGGACCATGTGGGTCCAGACACTATTAGCAATCCTCAGAGGGGGTGGGGCAGCTGGGGTGGGGGTGTGGAAGTGCTGTGGGAGGGGTCTCACGATATACTTCTTTCATGGCTCCTTTATCTCGCTGTCAGGCCTGGTCCAGCCATCAGCTCCAGCCACTTGCAAGCACCAGGATGGAAGTCAAAGGTCAGCTGATCAGCTCTCCCACCTTCAATGCCCCAGGTCGGTGGCTGTCCTCCCCCACCCCGCTCTGAGTCACCCTCACCGCCTTGGGAATGGTTGCTCCCTGGCCCTGCAGCTGCCCTGGCTGTGTATTGATCCCAGCTCCTTCTGTGCCCAGCCACCCTGTTTGGAGATGCCGTACCCCAGGTGAAGTCAGAGAGGCTGCGGGGGCTGCTCGACCGGCAGCGGGCCCTGCAGGAGGCCCTGAGCCTGAAACTACAGGAGCTCCGCAAAGTGTGTCTCCAGGAAGCGGTGAGGGTCTGGTTCCAGGACTATTGTGGGCTTAGGAGATGTGAGGAGGCAGGTCACCCCCCAGATAGGCACTCAGCCATTCTCCTGAACTGCACACTCTCTAAGTTCAGCTTAGAGGGCTGGAGAAATAGTATAGCGGATAAGCTGCTTGCCTTGCATACAACTGACCCGGGTTGGTTTGATCCTCAGCATCCCCTATGTTCTCCTGAACACCACCAGGAGAGATGGTGGAGCACAGAGCCTGGAGTAAGCCCTGGGCACCACCAAGTGTTCTACCCCTCTCCCAATTAAGTTTAGCTCAGCACTGAGAATCAATTAGAGTAGCAAAGATTAAGCAACCTTTGGAAAGCCACAATAATCTCAAAAGCAAAGAGTCGATTCCAGGGACTGGAGAGATAGTACAGCAGGTAAGGCACTTGCCTCACATGCAGTTGACCAGGGTTCTAGCTCTGGCATCCCATATGGTCCCCCAAGCACCACCAGGAATGATTCCTGAGTGCAGAACCAGGAGTAAGCGCTGAGCAACACTGAGTGTGCCCCCCCCCAAGTTGTTTTTGTTTTTAAAGATGGTTCCAGATTTTGGTGGCAGAATTTGACTGGAACTAACATTGTGGGGGCTGGGGAGTGATGTATCCTTTTGAGTTCCCCCTTAGTGTGAACAGCCGCCCAGCTTGCCTAAGCAATAGCACAGCGGGTAGGGCGTCTGCCTTGCACGCAGCCAACATGGCCGACCCGAGTTCGATTCCTCCGCCCCTCTTGGAGAGCCCGGCAAGCTACCGAGAGTATTCGACATGCCAGACACAGTTAACAACAAAGTCTCCAATGGAGACGTTACTGGGCCCGCTCGAGCAAATCGATGATCAACGGGAGGGCCTTTACTTTACTTTACTTTTACTAGAGCAGTGGTCTTCAACCACCTGTCCACATACTGGTGTGAGTCCACAGGTATAGAAAGGTTGAAGAGAGTTGGCTTAAGAGTGTGCAGTCCCAGGCTCTAACAGGAATGTAATGCATGGCAACTGTTTACCTTTATTAAAACAAGAAAGGAATTCTGGGCCTGAAACATAGTACAGCAGGTAAGGGGCTTTCCTTGCATGCAACCAAACTGGGTTCTATCTCGGGCACCCAGTATGGTCTCCTCCAGCTCCACTAGGAGTGACCCCTGAGCACATAGCCAGGAGTAAGCCCTGGGCACAACCAGGTGTGACTCCAAAACCAAGGGAAAAAAAAGAAGGAATCCTCGATTCCAGAGCAGATCTCTCTGTGTCCCCTGCCACCAGCCAGGAATTTGTCTTATGTCAGTGCTAGAGTCTGCCCAGGACATCTGCCCACAGAGGTACTGGAAGAGTGAGAGACATCATAAGCATGGGATGCTGGGCATCTGGGAGTCATTACTGATTTGCTGCAACCCCCCTCAACAAATCCTTGGTCATCTCCAACCCCGGCAGGAGCTGACTGGCCAGCTGCCCCCTGAATGCCCACTGGAGCCTGGTGAGCGACCCCAGCTGGTCCGCAGGCGGCCACCAGCAGCTCGAGCATACCCTCCCCCGCATCCCAACACAGCACACCACTCCTTGTGCCCTGCTGAGGTGAGCAGATTGATGGGGAGAATAAGATGGAAGTTGGACAGGTATGGAGGAGAAAGCATCCGGTCCAAGGCTGCTGGAGGGAATGTTACTCATTCTGAGTGCAGGGCTGCCTATGTCAGCCTGGCTTCAGTATGGGGACAGCTCATGTCCAGGTCTGGCCCAGGCACTGGCCTCCGCTGAGTGTAGCTCATTCCCTGTGGAAATTGTACCTTGGATTGAGCTAATGTCATAGGTGGAAGCAACTGGTTTCCTGGTCTGGGGAGGAGACCAGTTCCCAACTAGGCAAATGTGCCAGTCACCTTCAGGACACTGAATAAGCCCCACCCCAAATCAAGAGAGGTGCTGTCACCAGTGGGAACCAGTCCCCCACCACATACTCAAGGCTGATTGCTGCAAAGAGCAGGCCCTGCTGCAGTGTACACAGGCTCTGCCGCGGCCTGCCTACAGTGCTTGGTCATTTCTAACTCTTGCTTCCATCCTGTCCTTGGGCTGGCCCCCCACAGGAGCTGGCTCTTGAGGCACTGGAGCGCGAGGTGTCCGTGCAGCAGCAGATTGCAGCCGCGGCCCGCCGCCTGGCGTTGGCCCCAGAACTGAGTGCTGAGCAGCGGCGGCGGCGGCGGCAGGTCCAGGCAGATGCTTTGCGGAGGCTACATGAGCTAGAGGAGCAGCTTGGGGACTTCCGGGCCCGCCTCGGTCTCCCAGTGCTGCCGCCACCACCCCAGCCACTACCCCTGGCCACTGGGGGAGGCATCGCCTCAGGGGTCTGCCTGGGGACACGCCTTGCTCAGCTCAGCCAAGGTGAGCCTGGCCCAGCATTCCATGGGCATCCATGCCTGGAGGGGGAAACAGCCGGTGAGATGTGGGAGGTAGGTGGGCTTTGCGGGCCCCAGCAGTCAGGAGAGTTGGGAGAAGCTGGCTCCATGGGCAAGTGAGGGTGAGGCACAAACCTCCCCTGCAGGTCTTGGACTCATTTACTCAGGTAAAGGTGCATTCTTGTTGGGGTTGGGGAGAGTGGAGTGGGGAGAACCTGGGCAGCAGTGGAAGGCGAAGGGGATGGCCGCCATGCCTGGCACTGATAGGTGAGGCTCTCCCTCTTCTTACCTGTAGAGGACGTAGTTCTGCACTCGGAGAGCAGCTCCCTCTCAGAGTCCGGGGCCAGCCATGATAATGGTGAGGCTCCATCCCCCAAACCCTCTTGTCCTTCCTGCCCTGCTCACCCCTCCCTTTTCAGCCCCCTCCTTAGCCACACCTCCAGCACCTCTGCTCCAATGCCAGGGCCCACCTCCTCCCTTGGCTCCCCAGCCCCCTGTCCCACCAGGCCTCTCTGGCCGCTGCCCTTTACTTTGCCTGCAGCCAGAGGGGTCGCCTCTCCATTGCATTCTCCCCCCTTTCTCCCTGCCACCCAGAAGAGCCCCGTGGCTGCTTCCCTGTGGCTGAGCGCCCCTCACCACCCAAGGCCTGGGACCAGCTGCGAGCAGTATCTGGGGGCAGCCCTGAGCGCCGAGCCCCATGGAAACCACCCCCGCCAGATCTTTATGGTGATCTGAAGAGCCGGCGGAACTCTGTGGCCAGCCCCACCAGGTGAGAATGCATCCCTTCATCATTTCCCAGGAGTGGGATCCTTTGCTTGGGCCGGCTGGAGGGCCCACTCACCCTGCACCGGCCTGGACCTGCCTGTTCTCTTGCCTAGCCCCACGCGCTCGCTGCCTCGGAGTGCCTCCAGTTTTGAAGGGCGAAGTGTGCCTGCTACCCCAGTCCTCACCCGGGGCGCAGGCCCCCAGCTCTGCAAGTAAGGAGCCTGTGCACGTGGGCTTAAGGGACCTGATGTGGGAGCTGTCCATTCTAGCTGGGAGACCTGAAGGAAGAGCAGTGTCCAAATGCTGGGAGACTGGGCTTGGAAAGGTGAATAGGGGCTATAATTGAGGAGGGTGCAGGATTCAGTACAGAAGCTCCCAAGTTTGGGCTCAACATTTTTTTTGCTTTTTTGTACCACACCCAGCAGTACTCAGGGCTTACTTCTGGCTCTGCACTCAGGAAACTCAGAGATCACTCCTGGCAGTACACAGGGGCTCACATGGGATGCCGGAGACCAAACCCAGGTTGACCACATGCAAGGCAAGCACCTTACTCACTGTATTGTTGCTCCGGTGCTGAGTCTTGGCTTTTCCAATGTATTTTGGTTTGGTGGTTGTTACTTTGGGGTCACACCAAGCAGTGCTTAGGACCATGAGATGCCAAAGATGGAGTGCAGGCCTTCTACAAACAGTGCCTGCACTCAGCCCATGGAACTCCCTCCTTGGCCCTTTCCTGTGCTTTTGGGGCAGTCATTTCCCATCTCGGAATCTGGCACATTGTGAAGGGGACATAATCTCACCAGCCTCTGAAAGCTGTGGTAGGCAGCCAAGATCTGTTTTTCCTGCACTGGGTCTCCTGCTTGCTAGGAATTAGTAACTTACATGAGAGCATGGGAACAACTCACTTTTTCGTTTTGTTTTGATTTGGGGCCCCACACTAGGCAGTGCTCAGGGTTTACTCCTGGCTATGTGTTCAGGAACTCCTGGTGGGCTTTCCAGACCATATGGGATCAGGCCTGGGTTAGTCGCATGCAAGGCAAATATCCTACCTGCTTGTACTATATTTTAGGCCCAGCAACTCATTTCTTTTTTTTATTTTTATTTTTTGTGTTTTTGGGTCATATCCAGCGATGCTCAGGGGTTTCTCCTGGCTCTGTACTCAGGAATTACTCCTGGCAGTGTTCAGAGGACCATATGGGATGCTGGGAATTGAACTCGGTTTGGTCATGTGCAAGGCAGACATTCTATCCACTGTACTGTCACTCCGACCCCCACAAATCATTTCTTTATCACAGTATCCCTATGAGGTGTCTGCTGAGACTGTTCCCATTTTATAGAAACAGAAAATTGAGGTACAAACAGGTGAAAGAACTTGCTGCTATACCAAAGACCTGGTATTTAGACCCAGGTGAATGTGAGTCTAGTCTGTGCTGGTCAGAACTCTGATTGAGACCAGGCCTTCTTCAACTTTTTCCATTCATGATCCTTTCGTTTTCTTGGAAGCAGTGTTTCTGCCACACACCCAGCTGTGCTAAGGATTTATTCCTGTCTCAGGGATCACTCCTGGTTGGACTCAGGGGAAACAGTGGGGTCCTGGGGCTCAATCCCAGATTGGCCATGTACTAGGTAATTGCTTTACTCCCTTGTACTATCTCTCTGGCCCCTCGTCATCACCCTTTTTCACCCAAGACTTTTTAAAATTTTTTTTTGGCCAACCCCAGTGATACTCAGGTGTTACTCTTGACTCTGTGATAAAGAATTACTCCTGTTGGTGCTCAGGGGGCTATATGGGATGCCAGGAATCGAACCCAGGTCAACCTCAGCCTACCTGCTGTACTATATCCAGTCCCCACAAAAGACATTTTAATACAACCCTGGGTATGTAGAGACAGCCAATATACAAATCAAACATTTACTGACAGTGGACTATAAAGAAATTTATTTAAATTATGTTTTCAGAAGTTACAGGTTAAGAAGCTAGGGGATGAGGGATGATAAGAGTAAAATTAAATTTTATAAAAAGCTAGAGGGTGTGTGTATGTATGTGTGTGTGTGTGTGTGTGTGTGTGTGAGAGAGAGAGAGAGAGAGAGAGAGAGAGAGAAATCCCCAGCACCATTTATGGTTCCAGAGCACAATCAAGGATCTCACCTGGGCACCTCCCAGAGTGGCTCAAATACCCCAGCTCCCCAAAATGTGGGGGGAAGCTAAGTTCTAGAACTTCTTAAACAAGGCCCAAATAATTCCATTTCCCAGGAGTCAGAGGCTTGCCTCCTGTGACTTGTGGTTCTTGGCATCAAAGTTTGGTGTGGCTCCTCATCCCCACAGTGAGACAAAAGTTCAGGCAGGGTCTAGAGTTCCAGTTCTAAAGATTTCTGTGACCTTCATCATCGGGGAAGGGGAGAGCCAGGGGAAACACTCTCGCAGAGGATGAGGGGACAGTCACAGCTCTCCAGCATTTTCTCGTCTGTCTCTCTGGGAGTAAGCCTTAGGAACCCCGTGTAATTTCATTGCTGGCCCCCAAGTCCGCAACAGCTTTTTTTACTTGAATTACTTGAAGGAGGGGCTGGAGCAATAGTAGAGTGGGAAGGGCGTTTTCCTTGCACAGTGCCAACCTGGGTTCAATCCCTGGCATCTTCAAGCACCATCAGGAGTAATTCCTGAGTGCCAAATCAGGAGTAAGTGCTAAGCATCACCAGGTCTGGGCCCTAAAACAAACCAAAACCATCACTTGGAGGCCGCTTATCTACCTCCTGCAGGTACACACTCTGGGATGGGGGGTGACTGCCAGACTCTCTTGCCCTCACCACCCCTCTACCCGTCTGTGCCCTTAGACCTGAAGGCCTCCATTCTCGCCAGTGGTCTGGCAGCCAGGACTCCCAGATGGGCTTCCCTCGGGTGGACCCTGCCTCGGACCGCGCCTCACTTTTCGCAGCTCGGACTCGTCGCAGCAACAGCTCTGAAGCCCTGCTGGTGGACCGGGCCGCTGCGGGAGGAGCTGGCTCCCCACCTGCGCCTCTGGCGCCCCCTGCTGCTGGCCCCCCGGTCTGCAAGAGCAGTGAGGTGCTGTATGAGCGCCCCCAACCAATCCCTGCCTTCTCGTCCCGCACAGCTGGTCCCCTGGACCCTCCCCGGGCAGCCCGGCCTAGCTCTGCTGCCCCCGCCTCCCGCGGGGTCTCCCGGCTCCCCCCTGTGTGTGGGGACTTCCTCTTGGACTATGCCCTGGAGCGGGGCCTGCCCAGGGGTGCCAGTGGTGGCGCTGGTGGCGCTGCTGGCTGGGGGGAGTTGCTGCCTGCAAGTGAGGTCCCGGGACCCCTCTCCCGCCGGGATGGGTTCCTTGCCATGCTCCCAGGCCCCCCACCAGTATATGCTGCTGATAGCAGCAGCCCCGTCCTCCGCAGCAAGGACCCCCACTCCCGGGCCCCCCGCCCCAAGCCCTGCGGGCTGCCCCTGGAGACTGCTGAGGCTCTCGAGGTACACCCCAACTCTCTGCTATGGATGGCCCCCCACACCCGCATCCCCCCAGCTGCTGAGCGCAGTGGCCACAAGAACCTTGCCCTGGAGGGGCTGCGGGACTGGTACATCCGGAACTCGGGCCTGGCCGTAGGGCCCCAGCGCCGTCCTGTGCTCCCCCACATGGGCTCACAGCACCCACCATTCCTCCACGCCCGCTGCTATGAGGTGGGCCCGGCGCTGTATGGGGCCCCCAGCCAGGCACCGCTTCCGCACTCAAGGAGTTTCACAGCGCCCCCTGTCTCTGGCAGGTATGGGGGGTGCTTTTACTGATGGGGAGGGGACTCTGGAGGCCAATGGCGAGTGGGGGTCCTAGCCAGGAAGCAGTCAATGCCATAGCAGAGGACTCAGCCTGAGGGATCTCTCCATCACCATTGGTCGATGGGCTTGGGCTGGAGGGGTGGGGGTGCTGATTAGAGAAAAGCTAGGGTGCATGTGCTGGGAGGATGAGCCTGGAGACCAGGGTGCTGGGTAAGCAGGGCCCACTGTGCCCCTTGCCTTTCTCTTCCTCCTCCCTGTGTCCTTGGCTTACGGGCCTTGAGCTGTCCTTTACCTGCCTCTGCCTCTTTAATGAGCTTCTTCTTTCTCTCCCTCTCTCCCCCTCTCTCTCCCTCTCTCTGTGTGCGTCTTGCCCATCTTACCTTGTCCTCTGGATTCCTGCTACCACTTCTAAAAGATACTACGCGGACTTCTTGTATCCCCCGGAGTTGAGCGCTCGTTTAAGTGATCTGACGCTAGAGGGGGAGCAGTCCGCCAGTTCTGACCCCCAGACCCCGGGAACGCTGGTCTGACTCCTTTGGCTCAGCCTCTCCTGCTCCTGACCCTGAGCTCAGTCCGAGGAACACAACTGACCTCGCCGAGCACTGGGGAGGGTGGTTGGTAGCTCTCAGTCTTCACGGGGGTGCCAAGCTGATCTTCCAGGCCCTGGCCACATTGGGCCTATGAAGGAGGACCCTGTTTCTGACATCCTGATTCTCCTCACTCAGTGTGCTGGGGACAGGCGACACTCGACCCCTTGAAAAGTGGGTGGGGGGTGATGTCTTGGGGATGCCAAGCCCCTCCTTCCATTTCTGTTTACAGTTGTGATTTAGATATTCACTGTCTTTCCCACACACACCCCAACGCTAGAAGTTTTATAAAAGGGAAACTGTGAATTTTTGCTAGTTGGGTTCATTCCTATTCCCCGTCCCAGCCTTTTCTGTTCAGGATTCTCCCCACCCTGAAATGGACCACATAGGACCCCTCTTCCCTGGGGCCCGGGCAAGGGCAGCCAAGACACTGGTGCACAGAACTTCCTGCCACCCCTGCCCCCTGCCAGGCCAGTTTTTAGAGAGGTGATCTCTCTGTCAACAGGTGGAAAAATTGAAGTTGGGGTGGGGGCTCATTTCCCCCACCCTGTCCCTGTTTGCGCCCACTGCCTTTGCCCACAGGGTGACAGGGTGAAATGGTCTAGCCTTTAGTGGCTACCTCCACCCTGACCTTCCACAATTAGAAGGACCAAAGGGCAGAGCCATGGACTGTGCCCTCCTGAGACACTGGCGGTGGAACCTGGTGTCCTGTAGGTTCCAGTAAGCCTCAGGTGATGTGTGCCCACATGCCATGTCCCAACTTCCTCGGCTTTCCTTCCAGCCACCACTTTTTTTCAAGAAATCCACATGGGCTGTGATTTCTATGATAACCTGTCTGTGACTTTCTGGACCTGGGGGTCCTCCTCCCCCCTCTCCCTGGTGTTCAACTTTTCTTTTTTGTACCAATGGGGGGCCCAGAACACTGCTCACACTGGAGGGAATTTCTATAATAAATGTGTAAACTGAACCCACGTGTCACTCCTCTGCTTCACCTCAGGCCTCCACCCCACCCCTGTAATTTTTGCAGGAAAATATGATTGTGCATAGTGGAAGTAACCTGAAAACTGTTCCCCCATTTCAGCTTTCCTCACTTTATGGTTGGTGAGGGGTAGGGATTAACTTCCCTGCCAGGGTGCACTCAGATTCCCAGCCAATCCTTTAATGGGAACCCATAACAGTGCTCTCCGGAATGAGGAAAATGCTCCATGCAGATAACTACCTTGTGCATTCCTGCTGCTCCAGAGGCAAGAAGTTTGAGGGATGAACTGAGAGATCATTTCATCAGCTCACATGGTAGAGACTCAGCCCAGGGGAATCCCTAGCACAAGTGGAAGGCATAATGCCATTGTCATGGTGTAAGTGTGTGTGGGGTAATCAAAGTCACACCTCAGGCATGCAAGGCAAGTGCTTTATCATTGATTCCTTAGCTCCTGCCCCAAATTGGTTTATTTTGGTTTATTCCACTTGGTTTATTTTGGTGGTGGTTTTTTTTTAATTTGGGGGCCACACACAGCAGTGCTCAGGGCTCACTTTTGGCTCTGGGATCAGGAATCACTCCTGGAGTAGTAGCAGATCATGGATCATATGGGAAGCTGGGGATCAAACACAAGCAAGGCAGACCTTACCTACTGCGCTATCACTCCAGCTCCCAGGATGCCACTTGTGTCTACTAAAATGCACAAAGACCACCCAGGAGGCCAAACTGGCTATAACAATACAACAGCCTTTATTATTGCAGCAACACTGATATATATGCCCCTTTGCACAGGCTGACTTCCACCCCACCCACTTTTTGGCCCTCAGCACTAGGGAGGACTTTGGAGGAGAGGGGCAGGATCCCTAATTAGAGCTGAAGGGAGGCAAGTGGAACTGAAGACTACAGGGGAACCTGCAGGATACTCGAATTCTTCCCCTAGATGAGAGCTGGAAACACCTGGGTCTTGGGTTCAAGATTTGGCAATGCCCTCATCTGGGTTTAGAACTAGGATGGGAGTTCAGAAAAGCCTGGGTCCAGGGGTTCATGATTGGAGAGGACCTTTGTTCCAGACCCTAGCTTTGGGGTGGGGTGGAGTGTTGATGAGGGCCAGATTAGCCATGGATGTTCTGGTCCTAAGCCCCAGTTTGGGGTGGGGTTGGGTGTGGGCGATTTGGGAGTCCAAGGTCAGGGCTGAGGAATATTGGTCCCTTAAGATAATGGGGGGTACATATGAAGGAGATGCCAGATGGGGACCTGAGGAGAGATGACGTGCTTTATGAACTGAAGGGCTGGGGTTGGGCTTTTAATGGCTGGGAAGTGGCTCTGGGTCCCCAGTACAGGGAGGAGTAGGTTGGGGTGAGGTGGGGATGTTCTCCAGGTCTTAGATACAAATTCTAGGACCCTAGGATCCGGCTTCCTGCTCTTGTCCCAGAGCCTCTAGCAGCAGCCCCATTGGTGTCCGCTTGAGTCCGATACTCTCAATTTTGTTCTCAAGCTTGTTCTTGAGGTTGCGCAGGCGCAGTGAAGCATGGACCAGGATCACTGTGGGCAATGCAAAGGAGAATGGTCATGGGGGTAGGGTCTTGGCCTTTAGCCATGGGGGCCCGCAGAGGGGAAGTGGATCAGTGGCAGGTGAAAGGAATCGATAGAAGCCAACGACAACATAGGTAGAGGGTATTTGAGGATGTGGCCGGAGATGGGCATTTAAAACCAGGAGAGAGCAGCCAGCGGTGGTTAAGAAAGGCGTTCCCAGAAGGGACGCCGAAGCCCAGGAAGGCGCTCAGTCAAAGGGGGTGTGGCCATGCCCGGCGGGTGTCCCAGCCCCCTCTCAGCCCCGGAAAACAGGAGACACGCGCGCGTGCGCCCCCTAGCCTCGCCCTTCCCTCGGGTTTCTCTGCACAATGGAAACTCACGCAGCACTGGCCCGGCGATGCTAAGCAGGAAGGTGCACGCGCCGCCCACAGCCCAGAGGACGAGAAAGCCGATGGCCAGCACGGCGGCCAGGCAGGCGGCCGGGTGGCTGCGGCGGCAGCGACGCACAGCCGCTTGGCTTTCGGCCGCCCACACCAGCACGCCGAGGCCTATGGCCACTATCAGCGCGCTGAGCAGGGTATGCAGCGGACGCAAGTACCTGCGGAGACAAGGGAACTAAGCGCAACCGGCAGACGGTGCGAGGCACCCTCACCCCCGCCCCCGCATCCCCACTCCGGGACTACCGGACCATTGTCCACTACAGCTAACCTCAGTGTCGGTTCCCCCTTTGAAGCTCCTCCAGCCACTCTTCAGGGCTTTCAAGTTGCAGAAGCCCTCGAGAGATGGCAGGGGTGGGGGACACGTTTCTTTCTCATCAATCTTCCAGTCGCAGTTTTCTGAGACCTGCAGGTCCCCACCCCGCACCAATCCCTTCTCTCAAAGGATCAGCGCTTCTCCACGCGTTTTACCTCTGACCCCATCAACCTAACTCCTCCACTGCAACCTGACCCCAAACCGGCTCTTGGAGTCCAGCCTTTGTAGATTTCCCTTCTTGAAGTCCTTTCAGGCTCAGGGGTCCTTAGAAGCCCCTTCAGGTCCTCATTTCCCTAGAGACAGCTCCCTTTCTTTGTTGTGAGGTGGTTTTTTTTGGGGGGGGGGCTTGTTTATTTAGGGGACACATCAGGCTGTGCTCAGGGCTCTGCATTCAGGGGTCACTCTTAGTGGAGTTCCTGGGACCATATGGTGTGCTGGGGATCAAACAGGGTTGGCCTCGTGCAAGGCAAGCACTCTACCTTCTGTGCCTGCTCTCCAGCCCCGAGAGGGCCCCTTTCTAGTTGGCATAACCCCAGTCAGACTTCCATCACTCCCAAATCCCAGCCCGGCCCAAGCCTCCACCAGGGTTTCCTACGTTTCTCTACCCCTCATCTCCCTCTCAGGCACTTTACTCCTCTCACCCTCTTGGTTCAAGTTCCCCAACAGGAACTTGCCAGGGGCACGGACACGGTCATTCCAAACCCCTGACCTGGTAAATAGCCCCTCCCTAGCTCCCCAAGAGAACCCAGTGGGCTGGAATGACCACCGACTGCAGAGCCAGAAGCCCTAGAGCCGAGCCGTGATTGTCCCTACCTCCCAAAAACGTAATGGCAAAATTTTGTAAAGAAAAAGTCCACCGTCCACACCACTCAGCTGGGCGAGTTCCCTGTCTCGACACCCCATTCTTTAGGACCGCCTCTATCACTCGCAGAGCCTCACCTCAGCGGGAGCTCCCTCGCTTTCTTCAGGTTCTTACTTTCCCTTTCTATACCACACTTTCTCCATCCCCGCTTGGGGACTCCTCAGGGGCTCCCCTCCCCCGCCCTCGTTAGAGATCAGGCCTGGTTTCCCCCAAGACTCCCGCTCCATTCCCCTTAGGTTTTCCATCATGACTGAACTCGCCACTCCTAATCCCCTTCGCGTGCTTCAAACACTAGAGAGCCCACCCCTCCCAACACAGCAGCAATCCCCGGCCAACCGGCGCCTCCCTCCGCCCTCTCCGCCTCCCTCACCCGGCCAGCGCGAGACCGAAGCCAAAGCAGAGAAGGTAGTTGGCTTGGTAGTAGAGAAGATTGTTGATGACGCGGTGGCACCATCGCTGAAGGTCGCAGGGATCCGGGGCTGCCAGTCGCGCGGACCCCAGAATGAAGTCGTCTAGGGCGCGTAACGGCGGCAGCCGCACCTCAGACATCCTGCCAGCGGATGAAGCTGGACCAGCTAGCAGAGGGACTGGACTACAGCACCCGCTACACTCTGCGGCACCACGGAGGACTCTGGGAAATGAAGTTTCGCCCGCGCAGCCGCCTTCCCAAACTGTCAGGGGACCGGAAGGACGCGGGATGCACACATGACCGGAAGTTCACGCTTGGAGTCTCTACCGCGAGGCAGCGAGGGCCATCAGGCATGCAGGTCTCGGCCGATGGGTGGCGCATGCTCCCTCATCCCAGGGCGCGCGTCCTGGGAGGTTGGTGGCTCAAACAGAGAAACCAGACGCCAGAGGATGGTTGGGCCTGTCAAAACAACCCGAGCACAATCCCCCTTCCTTTTCTGTAAGGTTCCAAAAGGATCACGCCTTTCCTGAAAAAGGTTTTATTTATTTTTATTCTGGGCCCACACCCAGCTGTGCTCAGGGCTCAGTCCTGGCAGTGTTCTGAGGACTATATGCGGTGCTAGGGATCGAACCCAGGTCGACTGTGTGCAAGGCAAGCACTTCACTCTCTATACTATCCCTCCAGAACCTCCTGGAAAGTTCTTGCCAGGGCTTTTTCAGCCTTGTCTTCTCCAGCCCCCACTCTCACATGTCCAGCCATAAATACAGTTAAGGGACTTTTATTGTTTCCAGCACATTAGAGGTGTCACCTTTCAAGTTTTTAACTCCCCACAGTTCAGTAAGGGCACTCCTTTTGAGTCCCTAGCAGTCTTCTCCTGGCTTGGCCTGGTGGGCACACAATCATCAAAGGCACCCCGTTGATCAAAAGTTCTTGGGGGAAGTGAGCTGTTTCAACACTGCTCTGAGTGCCAAGTGTGGACCTTGCTAGCTGTGTGGCTTCCACAGCATGCATTCTGTTCCCTACCCGCCCCCCAAAGTAAACTTTTGCAATCTGTCACTGCAGGCCTTTAGCACAACCCATGGTGTCCTTAAAAGTCATCATCATCACAGATGTCAAGGTAAACATCAAAAGCCTCTCTGTTGCAGTTTCCATCAGGAGTGAAGACGTATTTGTGGAAAGTTCCATCTACACAGATGGCTGGAAGAGGTGAGGAAGATGGATACAGAATCAAGAGGTGGCAGGAAGAATACATCCCTCGCCTCTTTGGGTGTCCCAGATCTTAACAACTTCATCCAGGTCACTGCCCGCTGCCACCCTTCTACCAATGGAATTTAAACCATGCTGGAACACGCTTCAGGCCCTAAAATTCATTTAGAGGACTCGGGCAAGCCATCCACCCCCAGGGCTGTTCCCACTCACCAATGACAGAGTTGACGTTCTTAGAAGTATTGCGACCAAATGCACAGATGCAGGCTGATTCAGCAGGCACAGTAAAGCTCGCCAGGCTCCACTGTGAGTCCACGTACTGCCCAATCATGGGACCCACTTTGCCCACACGAGCCAGCCTGCAGGTAGTACTGACTCAGCCCAGGTGTGTGACAAGAGCAAGGGACCAGGGTCATGCAGGGTGGGGCAGGGGATACTCACGCAGAACGGCGGTTGAGGCGGGTATCCTTGAGAGCAAAGATATGAACCGTGCCCTTATCACTGGAGGCACACAGGAAGGAGGAGTCATGGCTGAAGTTGATGCTAGAAGATAGAACCACAGTGACAGCCATGAGGCGGGGTGGCATGGGGGGTCCCAGCTGAGCCCACCAATCATCCACTTTGCTTACCAGTAAAGTGTGGCAGGGTCTGTGCCTCGGCGCAGCTCCACCAGCTTCTCCTTCGACTGTGTATCGAACAGACGAATGAGGGTGCCCTTCTGGGAGGCCGAAGCCACAACAGTGCCCGGCTGGTTCAGGGATATGCAGGCCACATCACTCTGATGGGCATTGATAGTGAATGGAGCAGAGGAAGTACCAGGTTTGGTGCTTGCCAGGTCCTACCAAGAGAAGGAGCAGTTCTGGCCTTGATGGGCTATGGAGAACAAAGGCCAAACATCCACAAGGAGAGCCGGCCGACCCACCAACCCACCCTGGCCCATAAAGCTACTCACCACAAGTTGCAGGCTCCCACACTTGTGTCCGGGAAATACAAGCAGTTGCTTCTCTAGGCTGGGGCAGAGGTCACAGAGCCCTACGGGATGGGGATGAAGGGTGCGCTGGTAAAAGGCAGCATGTCAGAGTAGATGTAGCTAGGTAAGGGCCAAGTCTGGCCCTCCTGGGATATATACTACCCACACCACCAGAGCAGACCTGGTCCTTGATGCCACACCCTATCCATCAAACTGATTCTCTTCATCCCTCTGCTGCTGTGGCAGCCTCCCCAAAGGCCCAGGATCCTGAACCATAGTATCTAGGGTGTTCCCCCTCTGCTATTTGGAAGGCCCACGATTGAACTCTGGCCAAAGGTAGAGTACGAGCTCCTCAGCTCCAGACACCATCTCCTGCAGTGATACCTGCCTATTCAGGTCTGCTCACCCTTAGGGTTGTCCCGCGTGTCGAACTCAAACAGCTTTTGAGGACTATTGGGGAAGGAGTACACATAGATGCGGTTCCTTAGCACGATGACGATTCTGTGGGTAGCACACAGCACAGGATGGTCATGAGGGAAAGGCAAGGTGCCCTTGGCAGATGGGGGGACCCAAATCTGCCTGCCTGCTATAGGCACCTCCTACCCCCCACTCACCCCAGACCCTCACACTCACTTGTCATGGCGCATGCGTACAGCCAGCACAGACTTGGTGAAGGTGAACTCCAGTACCAGCTTGTCTTTGGAGTCCTTGCCCTCCCGGGCATCATTCCAGATCAGCACTGCTGGGCAGGTTGGTGCATGGTTGGGGCCAGGGGTAGGATGAAGGGGCGCCCTGGGGGCCTAAGGGCCCTTTCCCCATGATGTCAACCCAATTTTCTTATTTGAACTTTCAGCTAACACCTGATGAGCATCTCATAGGGGCCATTATGGACCTGACTCCTGAGAAAATGTTCAAAGATACGTTGTCCCCATGGACAGATGAGGAAAGTGCAGCAAGCAGGGTTTTGTCTGTTAATCTGGACAAGGACCTCACAGCCCATTCTGACCTTCAGGCCAGTATTTCTGCCTATAGGGTCCCATCCAGTCCATTACCCTAGGAGGAGATTTCTGTGCTGAAGGCTCTGACTCATCTAGTTTCAAAACTCTTCATTTTGGGAGTTTTTTTTTTTTCCAGGGCGGGAGGCAGGCTTGACTATATTCAGAGATCACTCCTGACTGTGCTCGCTCGAAGGACCACATGGGGTGCCAGAGTCAGCTGCATGCAAGACAAACATCCTACCCATTGTACTATTGCTGTACTATCACTCCAGGCCCTCAAAACTCTTCAAACAAGATGGTGCTTAAGGTTCAAGGGAACAAAGCAGTGGCGAGAAAACATTTTTTAAAAAATATTTTAATCCTATTGGTCATGTGACCTTGAATAAGTCCCATGAATAAGTCATTTAAGTTCTCTGGGCTTCTGGGTAGCTTCATCTCGACAAGTGTACTTTCTACAACTTAGTTGCTATGAGGATTAAATGAGTTAATATAAGGAAAGAACTTAGCTCAATATCAAGGCAAATTACCACTGCTCCTTAAGTAAGGATGAGGTATATGGGGGGGGGGCATTCAATAAGTGTCTGCTACATAAAGACAAAATGCCAAGCTTCTCAAGCTAGCACATCACAACTTCCTAGCAGTAGTAGTCCTCACTGTGGTGCTTGGACGGGCTCCACATATCTTCCTCTGCCAGTGCCTAGGGGAAACCAGGATTCTAAGGAGTCTGGACCAAAGGTGGGATGATGCCACTTACCTGAGATTTCAGAAAACTTGGGACTGCTACCACCGCCCACCAGGGCCAGCAGATTGGAGCGATGCAGCATCTCCACCAGGCCCATACTGCCAACCTGCTCATGGTCTGGACAAGGACCAGCTGTCAGTGGGGGTGCGAGACAATGCCATTCCCTTTCCATTTGCCCACTGCCTTCCTGCACCAAGGACTCACCCAGATGACCCTTCTCCATCAAAGGTTCTACATTATAGATTCGCACACCCGTCTCCATGGCACAGCAAAAGCAACCTGGGGATGGGAGCAATCCAGGATGCGACAAAGGATGTTGGGGGATCAACATCCACCTCAGACCCTCCCCTTCCTCCTTTGCTCCCTTCTTCCCTGGAGGGTCCAGGCCTAAGCCTCTCTCACTTTGGTCTTGGTTGAAACGCAGGCTGGTAACTCCTCGAAGTGGCTGCTGAGTCATGGTCCAGACTTGCTTCCCTGGGCACAAATGAGAGTAGGCTCGGTAAAAGCCCTAGAACTCATGTCCCCAACTGATAGTCTTTACATTTACACTGTATTAGCAACTGATCTTAGCAAGACTCCCAAGAAGACCAAAACAAGGGGAGAGTCCTGGGGTCTCCACTGTTAGCTTCCAAGACCCCAAAGAGCAGGATCAGTAACTTCATCTTTTCACAATCACCTGACCCCAGCTCAGGGACTAACCTGAACTGGATCCTTGACCTCCTCTAGTTACCTGGCCCACACTGGTTGCTTGTAATAGGCTAGAGAGTACCCCAGTGAGATTTCCTCTCTCCTCCCGGCCAATCCTGGTGTCCAACAGAGTCTGGAACCACTCCCCACCCCCTTATCATTTTCATACCTAACTCCAAGTGGACCCCCAGTTAAAAGGAGAGATGAAGGCTAAGACAAAGGGCTCTGCTCTGCCTTTTCCTCCACCCTTACTGAGTTGCTCCATTCCCTTTCTCATACCCTACTGCTGCCCCCCACATATCCCAGCACCCTATAATCGACTCATTACCTCCTTTTCTGCTGGCTGACCTCAACATGAACTGGGCCTTCCTATAGGAATTCCACGCCCCTAAGAGTCCTCCTCCAACCCCTCTCCATCCGTCATCTCCACACAGCGTACTCCTACCCTCTGAAGATCTTTGCCCACTTCCCCAAATCCCTATCTGGGACGACACAACCTCCTCCATACCACCCAGTCCTGAACCTCCTCTAAGGTTCCTGTCGTCAAGTCCCCACAGTCCCTTTAAACTCCCACCTCCCCAAGACCTTGCCCAGACACACCCCCTTTCCATGCTCCTACAGTTCAAACTCTCCAGTCATCCTTACCCACCTCCAAGAGGCTGCCTCACTTTCCTTCCGAAAAGCCATTCTTTGCAGATTCCCGCTTCCCCCAAAACCCCTTCCTTGGACCCCAATACCAAAGACCAGTATCACCCCAGCACCCTGTCTCAGAATGCCACTGACACGCACAAACACACACAAACACACACACCTCACTGGCCCTGTCCAAGCCCGTCCTCACCTTCCTTTCCAGACCAATAACCACTCAAGGCCCCTGTGCTAGGACTGCCCCTCCCTCATTCCAGGACCCATGCACAGACCTGCACCCCCTCCCCAGACCCCAGCCAATTGTAGAATCCTGGATGGCCCAGCTCCCGGCAGCAGCCTGCACCGACCTGACCTCCGCACGTCCCGGATGGCAGCCCAAGCTCTCGGTGCCGCCCGCGGCCCGGCTTTCTGACCTCCTGGGGCTTTGACGCCGGGCTCTGGTGTTTACATCAGGACTTACTTCCGGGGGAGGGCGCCAGTTACAGGAAATGATTCACCGGGGCGGAAAACTCGACCGCGGCCCCGGTCGCCAGGCTTCCCGAGCTTCGGAGCTTTGCGAGTCACAAGCAGCGTCCTGCGAGGCGGGCGGAACAAGAGAAGGAAAGTGCAACCCGGCCTCGTAGGTCTGAGAGAACCAGGGACTGAGCCAAAAAGAGCATCCCGACGCCAGGCGATAAAGGACCCGACCATGCTTCTTCTCGGAGAGCTTAGCGATTTAGCTTTCTAGGCTAACAAGATTTGGACCTCCTACGTGTGATCGAGTGGCTGTTCCCGTCACAATGAGTTGCCCTCCGGGGCGTTTAGAGAGGCCCTCGCCGAGCTTCCCAGCGACGGGAACCCGGAGAGGCCTGAAAGCTGAAGCTGTCACTCCGGCCTGGGAAAGCCAGTGATAGGGAGTTTCTTTCTTTCTCCCTCGAACTTTTGCTTGAGGGAACCAAATTAAAATCGGAGAGGGCGGTGAATGGTGGTCATAGGTATTGATGAGGTTCACCATGGAAGGGAAAGAAAATCCCAATTATTACAGACCGAAACTAGTTTTTAATCAGCATTTAAATTTGGAGATCATTGTTCGTTTACATAGAGTTCTGAGAAATAATCCCACGTCCTTTGTGTGTTGTGTGTTAGGAATAAGAATTTTATTAGAGAATAGTACACACCAGAGAAGCAGAGTGGAGGCATTATCTAAAGAGAGTAACATAGTTTCCTGTTTTTTTTAAAGGGATGTTATGATCGCTTTTTAGTTTCTATTTTATGGAAACTTTGTTTCTAAGTAAGGCACTTGATGAAAAGCTACAGTACACAGAGAGAGAGCAGGGAGGGACATACTCCATAGATAGCAACCTCTACAGACTTCTAGCATTTTCTCCTCAAAAGTTACATGAAAAATTATGTTAAAATGTTGCACTCCTGATAGTGGTGGGGCTATGATCACCAAAAGGTAACAATGAAAATTCTGTTAAATATTATGTTCTTGGTGTCTGAAGATATATGTGGCTTAGTCAGTAGAGCACACACTTTCTTTGTATGAGCCATACTTTCCACCTCCTAAAGCTCCCCAAATTACAGTCATATAATAGAATGGTGAATAAACTATAAAAAGGAGAGGCATCACATTCAGATCACATTCAGAATATTGACATTTATTCATTCCATCCTTTTCTCCCAAGTACTATTGTGGTACTTTTAAATTATATATAGGGGACTGGAGTGATAACACAGCGGGTAGGGCGTTTGCCTTGCACGCGGCCGACCCGGGTTCGATTCCCAACGTCCCATATGGTCCCCCGAGCTTGGCCAGGAGTAATTTCTGAGTGCATGAACCAGGAGTAACCCCTGTTCATCGCTGGGTGTGACCCAAAAAGCAAAATTATATATATATATAATTATATTATATTTATATAGAATCACTGTGAATTACAAAGTTACTCATACACATTTTTGTTTTTGGGAGGGCACATCCAGCACTCCTCAGGACTTATTTCTGTTCCTGACTCTACACCCAGGAATCACTCCTGGCAGGGTTTGAGGGACCATATGGGGAGCTGAGGATCAAATCCCGGGTCGGTCCTATGCAAGGCAAGTTGCTCCAGCCCTCCATTCACATATATTTAATGGCATCTGGAGAGCTCATCTTTTAAAACTGGATCCTGATATACAGTGATACAAATGTAGTGCTGTTTAGCTCTTCCTTTCTCATGGCCATCTATCTTGTGTTGTCATCATCCAGGTGGATTTGGATGCCGAATGGTCTCCTAGATGTGACTCCATTTCTGTGCTTCTCAGCCAAGCCAAGCTTTCTCTAGTCTACTTCCTCATGTTCAGGCCATAGTTAACTAAATTCACTTTGGCATCTGTCTCTCCCATGTCTCTGAAACTGGTATTAATTGGGCCACTAATAATCTTGACAAACCAGCAATCACTACTCTGTGCTCTCCTGTGATCACCCAGCACATTCCACAGTTCCCTTCACTCCTTTGGTTTTCTCCACATCTCTAATAACTGTTCTACATGGATATGTCTGATTTTTAACTATTTGGATTACCCTTCCATAGGACCTATCCCCATATTTTTTTTTGCTTTTTTGGCCACACCCGGCGATGTACAGGGGTTACTCCTGGCTCTGCACTCAGGAATTACTCCTGGCAGTGCTCAGGGGACCATATGGGATGCTGGGGATCGAACCCCGGGTCAACCGCGTGCAAGGCAAATGCCCTACCCGCTGTGTTATCGCTCCAGTCCCTCCCCTTAATTTTTAAAGCTAGTATTCTCCCCCTCCGTGACTTCACCTTGTCTCAAAGTCTTAATTCTTGCAAATGATGTGAAATTCCATTCATTTAGATCTGTAGCCTTTGCCTTTCTCCTGAATGCCAGCCTCATACATGCTAGACCTGTTGGCTATGGACATATTCATGTAGGAGCCCCATAAGGCATCTCAAACAGCCCATCCATTCAGATCCCTTTAGTTTCTTTTACTCACATGCTCTCTCTTCTCCCTCTTCTCTACCATTGGCACCACAACATCTAGTTTGCCACTCAAGTCAAAGAGAAGATATGTTATGCTTGGTTCATCTCAACTGTAATTGACAAATTCTGTTAGTCCTGCTATCAAAAGGTATCAGAAATAATGGTCATGTACTTTTAAAGACAGGATAAAATAAACTAATTTAGCCTATCACATGAAAACACAACCATTCTTTCCTGCAAAAAACAAAACCACAGAAAGAAAAAATACATGAAACAAGGTCTTCAAGTCATAGGTATCGGCAATGAAGGACAATTTGACCTGAGAAGTAGAGAATAAGGTGAGCCTTACTATTGCGCTAGCATACTTTGGGAGAGTTTACATGCTGCAACACAAGTAGAGGAGACTGAGGCCAAGTGTGTTGGCCTCTGTAAGTTGAGATAGCCCCAAAGGACAAAGGCAGGCTGGACAGATAGTTCAGCAGGCTTAGCATATGTATGCTTTGAATGTGGAAGGCCTGGGTTCCACATAGTCCTCTGAGCACCTCTGGGAGTGATCCCTGAGTACAGTACCCAGAGTAGCTCTCAGGCATCACTGGGTGTGCCCTCAAAAGGAAACAAAAAGAGAAAGGTAGCTAGGGTGTATTGTTTGTTTGTTCATTTGCTTTTTGGGTCACACCCAGTGATGCTCAGGGGTTACTCCTGGCTCTGCACTCAGGAATTACTCCTGGCAGTGCTTGGGGGTGCCAGGGATCGAACCAGTCGGCAGTGTGCAAGGTAAACTCCCTACCCACTGTGCTATAGCTCCAGCCCGGTAGGTAGCTAGGGTTTAAAGGACAGAATTTCATAAGCCTGGTGAGAATACAGTATGTGGGGTCCTTGCCATGTTGGTCCATGGCCAACCTCAGCATCCTATATACAACCTCCAAGCACTGGCAGGAGTGATCCCTGAGCACAGAGTTAGAAGTAACTTCTGAACATTGTTTGGTATGGCCCACAAACAAACAAAAATAAGTAAAGGACAAAATTTCAGGACCTAGAGAGATTGTACAGTGAATATGGTGCTTGTCTTGCACACAGCGGATAACTTGGGTTCAATCCCTGGCATCCCATATGTTCCCCACCCCAAGCCCCACCAGGAGTGATCCCTGAGCATAGAGCCATGAGTAAACTCTAAGCACTGCTGGAATTTTAGGGCCAGAGTAGCAGTACAAGAATTAAAGTGCTTGTCTTCTACCAAACATCCTGTTTCAATATTCGCCATTGTATGTGGTTCCCACAAGCATGGGCAGCCAGGGGTCATTCCTAAGCGTGAAGCCAGGACTAGACTCTGAGTATCCCCCACACACACACACACACATACACACACACACACACACACACCAGTAAAGTATCATTTGCTGATGGTAAGCATGCTGATGGCAGTCTCCTGCCCCCGTGCCTGACTGTCCTCACCGGGGTCCCTTGGAGGAGGGCAGGTTGAGTTTTCCTCCCCGCCCTGAGCAGAGTCCCGGCAGCTGAAGACCTCCAGAACCAGCCACAGCCATGCTTAAAACCACTCTCCACACGCTTGGACGAGCCTCATGCATGAAGGAACCGGCAGAGGAACCCAGGTGTATGGGACCCGGGGCTGAGATCTCCAGGGCTGCTCGGATAGGAACCGGGCCTCCTCCACCCAGTCCCCCATTTTCCAGTAGCTAGACAGTTACACCCACCAACTAACTGCCCCAGGCACCGTGTAATCCCATCAACGGCCAAGACCCAGAGACTATAAAACCAAGTTCCTGGAAGCACGCAGCTGCGACCTCTTGGTGTCTAGGTCTCGCTCTTGGAGAACCTGGCAGGCTACTGAGAGTATCCTGCCCGCATGGCAGAGTCTGGCAAGCTGCCTGTGGCCTATTCGATATGCCAAAACCCAGTAACAATGATGGGTCTCATTCCCCTGACCCTGAAAGATCCTCCAATGTGCACTTGCTAAAATCTCAGGGCTAGGAGGAATGGAGACGTTACTGGTGCCTGCTTGAGGAAATCTACGAACAACAGGATGACGGTGATACAGTGATACAGTGAAGCATGCTGATGGCATCAAGTACATTCATATTGCAGCAGGAACATCCCCACCATCCATCTCCAGAGTTGTTCTCATCTTGCAAATCCCCAGAGCTATATTCTCTTGCAAGTATGGTCTTCGAATCTCCCAATGAGATGATTTGTTTCTATTTTTTTTCCTGTCCCTAGTCTGTGGCAACTAATTCTTGTTTGAACTTTGATATTTTGTATTTTTCAAGGGAGTAACACATTGGGGTGGGGGAAGGTATTTTCCCAGCAGTGCTCTGGGACCTGGGGGCTACTCAGAAATATTCAGTCTAGCCATAGGACTTGATAATTTGATACTCAGGCTGACCCTGTGGTGCTGCTCCAGCTTGCAGTGCTGGGGGCCTCCAGGGCCAAACTCACAGTGTCCAGATGGCCATCTAGCACTGGGGGTTAAACAGGGTTTTACACATGCCATGTGTGAGCCTCTAGCCCTTTGTACTGTCTCCTGGGTCCAGGAATTTGTGCATTTCAGCTAAGTGTAGATTTATTAGCATTCAGTTGTTCATAGTATTCTTTTTTATTATTTATTTGGGGGCTTGGACCATAACCACGGTGCCCAGGAGCTACTCCTGAATATGTGCT